ACATGAGGTCTTTATATAGACCCAGAAACTTTATGCTATTTTAGAAAAAAACAAACAAGTAAATACTATTAATAGCTCACTATCTCTTAACCTTTTCAACTACATCAAACTCTTTGTATTCCACTAACTTATTAATAGAAACGTATTTAATATAATATTAAAGTTTATTCAACAAAACTCCCATGTAAACTTAAATGTTTGTTCTATCCATCATGCCTATCAACTTCTTGCCTTTGTCAAAATTTTCTTTTGATAATGATTTTGTAAAAATATCAGCAGCTTAATCCTTGCTTGCTACATGCCTCAATTCGACACTTCCTTCTTTCACATGTTCACGAATGAAGTGGAAGCGAACGTCAATGTGTTTGCTTCTTTCATGATTCACTGGATTCTTTGCTAACTCAATTGCTGACTTGTTATCCACATGTATTACTGTTGCATCTACCTTCTTTAGCTCTATTTTGCTTAACAATCTTCTAAGCCATATTGCATGACAAACACAGCAAGATGTTGCTATGTATTCAACTTGATATGTCGAGAGTGTTACTGTAGGTTGTTTCTTTGAAATCCAGGTAAATGCGGTATTTCCCATAAAGAACACATATCCTAACGTACTCTTTTAATCATCAATAGCTTCAAAATCCAGGTAAATGCGGTGTTACTATAGGTTGTTTCTTTGTAATCTTCTGCTCTTGAATAAAAAATTCCAAGTGACACAGTTCCTTGGATGTATCGAAGGATTCTTTTCAATGCCTTCCAATGTGAATAGAATGGTTCCTCCATAAAACGACTTACAATTCCGACACTCAACGAAAGATCTGACCTTGTACATGTGAGATAGCGAAGACTTCCTACCAAGCTTCGATATTTGCTTGCTTCGACATGTTCTCCTCCATCAAATTTTGAAAACTTTGCATCTGGTTTCATTGGCGTCGAAATCGGATTACAATTTTCCATCTTATATTTATTCAAGATCTCTTTTGCATATTTCTCCTGTGAAACAAAAATTCCTATTTCTTCTTGTCGAACCTCCAGATCAAGAAAGAATCTCATCAGACCTAAGTCTGTCATTTCGAATTCCCGTGTCATTGTACACTTGAAATCTTCTATCATTTGATCATTGTTACCCAACAAAATTAGATCATCGACATAGAGAGCAACGAGTAACAATTACTTCCATTCTTCTTTACATACAGAGCATGCTCGTAGGGACATTGTTTAAAACCATTCTCTTTGAAATATGTGTCGATGCGTGTATTCCATGATTGTGGTGCCTGCTTCAGCCCATATAGCGCTTTCTTCAATTTTAGTGCTTTTTCTTCTCTTCAGACTTTCATGTATCTGGGTGGTTATTCAATGTAGACTTCTTCTTCGAGTACACCGTTTAGAAATGTTGTCTTAACATCCATTTGAAATATCGGCCATTTGAATTGAGTGGCTTGAGAAATGAGTAATCGAATTGTCTCCATTCTTGCAACAGGAGCAAATACTTCGTCATAATCAATTCCTGCTTTCTACTTGTATCCTTCGCAACAAGTCGTGCTTTATATCGTTCTATTTCGCCTTGAGCATTCATCTTCTTCTTGAATACCCACTTCACACCAATGGGTTGACTTTCTTTTGGTAATTCTGCTAGTTTCCATGTGTTGTTGCATTCGATGGCCTTAATTTCTTCGTTCATGGCAGTTTTCCATTTTTTGTCTCGCAGCGCCTCTTCGAGGCTAATATTTTCAGTATCTGCCAAAAGACATACAAGATGTACCTCTTCTGTTGTATCATACAAATCTTGCAGACTTCGCATTCTGGGTTGTAGAGGTTCATCTTCATTGTCAGAATCTTCAAGGTCAGCTGAAGTGCTTGTTGGTACAGCGACTGATGTTTCTCCAACTTCGACGATAACTTCTGTCGAATTGTTCCAGTCCCACTTGCTCGCTTCGTTTATTCGAACGTCTCTACTCACTATCACCTTCTTGCTTATGGGATCGAATATCTTGTACCCTTTTGTCTTCTCATCGTACCCAATGAATATGTACTTCTAACTTTTGTCTTCAAATTTTGTTCTTCGTTGATCTGGTATGTATGCATAAGCCACACTACCAAATACTTTGAGATGAGAAATTGTTGGCTTTTGTCCGCTTCATGCTTCTTCTGGTGTTTTATCTTCCAATTTTGAATGTGGACATTGATTTTCAACATAAATGGCACATTGTACTACTTCTGCCCAAAATTCCTTTAACATGTTCTTGCTTTTAATCATTGATCGAACCATGTCGAGAACTGTTCGATTCTTCCTTTCAGCCACACCGTCTTGTTGAGGTGAATATGGTGCAGTTAGAAATCTCCTTATGCCCTGCTCTTCACAATACTTCATAAAGGTTGTCGAAGTATACTCACCACCTTTGTCAGATCGAACGACTTTGATGTGTCTGTCAGTTGCCTTCTCCACCATTACTTTGAACCTTTTGAACACCTCAAATGCTTCTGATTTTTCTGTCAAGAAATAAAACCAGGTTTTTCGTGAGAAATCATCGATAAAGGAAATGAAGTACCTTTTCCGCTGAAGGATTTTAGGTGATTGGTCCACAAATATCAGTATGAATCAATTCGAGAATTTGTTTAGCTTGATATTCTGCATTCTTTTGAAATGACGTTCTTGTTTGTTTGCTAAGCATGCATTCTTCACAAAACTTTCCTTCATAGTCCATGCCTGTTAGCTCGTGCACCATGTTCTTATTTGCTAACCTTTTTAGACCAGCATGATGTAGATGACCAAAACGCAGATGCCACAACGATGTATTATCTTTGACATTGACTTGCAAACAACTTTCTCAAACGCTTTTCAAGTTCAGTTTATACATTCGATTTTCCCCATTTCGACTTGAGCAATCAGATGCCCCGGTTTGTCCTTCAAGTGTAATATTTGATCTTTCATGAATATCGAATAACCTTTTTCTGTGAGTTACCCCAAACTCAAAATATTGGTTTTAAGATTTGGTACATAATAAACATCTTGGATTGATCCGGTCAAGTCACCCCTCTGCAAGCAACAAATCGTACCTTTGCCTTCGACCTTCACCTTCGATGCATCTCCGAAAGACACATGACCATCTTCAATCTTTTGCATTTCTTTAAACAGGTGTTTGTGACCACACATATGATTACTTGCCCCTGAGTTGAGATACCACATAGTGTCATTTTTCACGTCTTCTTCTTTTTGAGTCATCAGCTGAAAACCTTCATTCACTTCGGCTTCCAAAGCTAGATTGGTTATTTCTTCTACCTTTCTTTCGAGTCGACAATATTTTGCAAAATGTCCTATTTTACCACAGTTGTAGCATTTCTCAGAGTTGCAGTCCTTCGCATAATGACCAAGCTTGCTACACTTGTAACATTCGATGTTGGAGTAGTTCTACCGACCGCCTCTTTGACCATGTCCTCTGCCACGCCAATTTTGTTGGCTCGACTGTCCTCTCTCGAAGTTGCTGCCTCGACCACTGTCACGACCTCCACCTACACGTCCTCTTCCTCGAAAGTTTTGAGAAAAAGTACCTTTTCGTGTTCGGTTGACTCTTTGGTTTAAACTGCTTCGTCAAGTGTCTCCTCCTTTTTGTTTATCTTATGTTGTTCGTGTGCCTCAAGAGAACCAGCTAGCTCTTTGACTTTGAGCGTTGTAAGGTCCTTCGACTCTTCTATCGCGCACATAACATTCTCAAATTTTCGTTAAAGATCTTAGAATCTTTTCGACAATACGAGCATCAGTCATCGTTTCTCCATTTCGATTGAGTTGGTTCACTATTGTTTACAAACGCGTGATTTAGTCTGATACATTTTCTGACTCCTTCATCTTCATTCTCTCCAATTCTCCTCGAAGAGTTGAAGACAAACTTGCTTGACTCGGTCGGCTCCTTTGTACACTTTTTCTAACGTGTCTCATGCTTCTTTCGAAGTCGTTGCACCTGCAATCTTTTCAAAGTCTGATTCATCAACAGCTCGGAACAAGATGTACAATGTCGTCTTATCCTTCGAACGCGTCTCTTTCAACGCTTTGGTTTGAGCTGCCGTATATCCTGTGGTATTTGGTTCTATGAAACCAGTTTCGACCGTCTCCCACGAATCTAGAGATTCAAGAAGAGCTTTTATTTAGATACTCCAATTTTCGTAATACGCCTTCGTTAATCGTGGTAGCGGCATTTGACTCATCGTATTCGCCATTTGGCTCTGATACTATTTTGTAAAAACTGAATACTACTTTTCTATTGCACTTATCAAAATGAAAATACATGAGGCCTTTATATAAACCCAAAAACTTTATGCTATTCTAGGAAAAAACAAACAAGTAAATACCATTAATAGTATCTCTTAACCTTTCAACTACATCAGACTCTTTCTATTCCACTAACTTATTAATAAAAAGCCACTTAATATAACATTAAAGTTTATTCAACATAAGTTTGAGTGCCTTCTTGAGAGCTTATCATTTGTAAACCAAGCTGAAAATTCATCAAACATGTATAAGCGCTCAATAATTTTCTTGATTTTTTGGTTATATATCTTTGAAATTGTACTTTGTTTTTCAGCTTTGAGTCTATTATAAAACCTATTTGTGAGAATATTATCTCTTCTGGCATGTCCATTTGGATGCATCAATATGCATAGGATTAGTATCCATGAAAACCTAGACAAGGGAGATTTTGGATCTTAGTTCAAATCAATCTTTTAATCATTCCTTCATTTGTTTTTCTATCATCTTGAAGCAAATTAATTAGGGGAATATACAATAGTGTACTACATAAGTAGCATAACTCTAAAGATATTCCAGTAGAAAAGCTTCATGATTTAATAGATCTACAACTTAGTAAATAATCATCAATTGAAGATGTTGCAATAGGAAATTAATAAAAAGTATCACTTTATTATTGCTATACATTTACGCATATAATTTTCCATGTACAAGTGTGTATCTATATCACTACAAAATTTTGATCCTCATTAATCCTCTACTAATTGTTGAGGATATTAAGAAGTGAAACTCTGATTTTAATGAGACGCCTAAACAGAAACTCAAGACCTTGTTCAAGGTCTTGAATGCATGACTCGGTTTTCTCCAAGTGGTTTTGCAGATCATTGATGCCTTCAACTTTTCTTGCCTTGGTAAATAGGAAAGACTCTAAAGCTGCATCCACTTTAGCAAATTCACTATCATCTGTCAATTGTGAACAAGCAACTCTTTTGGCCCGAATTAGCTTCGAAATGGAACCCCAGCTGTTTGACTTTGATTGTGTAGTCCCTGAGATATATTGCAAGATTGTTTGAAATGTAGATAGTGTAGCTACTTGAACATCTTGTAATAACTTAATCAAAGCCTCTTTTTGGTGGTCTTTGTTTCTAGACAAGTCGTTGCAGTTTTTAGTATTACCCTTCAAATTCGTCAAGGCTTTGGAGATGGCCTTTCTCACAACCTTTCTAGATGTCAAGAATTTCTTAGCCTCTGCAGTGACCTCCGTTCCGCTTCCTCTTCTTCTTATGATGGATTGAAGTTCCCTTGTGCATTCTTTTGTATGAATGACTGCATCTTTCGCTGCGCTACACACATCCAAAACCCTTAAGGATCCATCCAAGAGGTTATTTACCCAATTTTCTTGATGCTCATTAATGAATGCTTCTTGAGTGAGTGGAAGTTGAATCAAATTTTCAACACACTCGATCAAATCTCGCAAGCCATCAATCTTATGGAAAAGTAAGGATGATGAGTATGTTTCATTTGAAGACTTTAATAATGTATCCAAATGATCATTGCATTTAAGAATGAGTGGGTGTGCTCTAGAAGGCAAGCTGGTTGAGCGGCCATGGAAATTGGATTTTGTGTTCAAAGGAGAAGAAGCTGCCATTTCCTTTTTCTTAAAGGGCAGAGAAAGAGAAGCCTTGATTTGAATGTTAAATTGAGTCTATGGATCTGTATTTTTCCTATGGAATTTTCTCAATATATATTAAAGGTGTTAGGCAACATAAGGAATCTGATATCAATGAGGCCAACTAATCGAGATTTGAATTGAGACATAATTACATAAATGTTAGAGCTGTGTCTCCTCCAAGGAATCTCTCCAACTCATACTCTGATTCATTTCCATGATTATAACATTTTAAATGCAGACACTTCACCTAAAGTGTGTTTTAATATACAACAAACATAACCATTTGCATGTGTGCAGTACTAATGTGATGCTAAAGCAACAACTGCAATATTGTTAGGCGTGTCTCTGTTGGAGGAACATGAATCACACCATCCTTTTGAAGATATATTATCATCTGTTGAAATCCTTGATCAACTCATACCTACACATGTACTAGATCAAAAAAAGATCTTAACAGGTTATTTATAAATAGAACTGCTTCTCATCCTACAGACATATGATCCATTTTCCATGTTCATGCACTTCCATCACATGCATGCTCCTTGGAGTTCAAAATTTGTTTTTTACTATTGTCATACCTTCATTTTCATCCTAGCATTCATATCATTAATTCAGCATATCATCTCATTAGCGTATCATTTGATCATTAATGAGTTTTCTTACACCAAATTCATAACATAACAGCTAGCAGTCCATCATCATTTTGCATTGATAGAACTCATACCAAAAAGGATTCAAGTTGCTGGCATTTAATTTTTTAGCACTAAGTTCAAGTTTTAGCATTGGATTTGAACTAACCTAACAACTATAACTAAAATTCAGAACAAGAGTTTTAATTCCCCACTCGGTTCAAAGCTAACTCACTCTACCTTTCCTGCTTGGGATGAACCGATTTCTAATCGTTGTATCTAACTTCACTAACAGTATTCTCGACCTCCAACTAACCTAACTGAATCTAACCAATTTCATAATTACCTCATAACTTCCATAATAGAGTTCAACACAATAACACAAAGTGATGGTTCAAGATGTATTCATGACCAGAAATCAGGGAGCATTTACCACAACCATCAATTCACAAACATGACAAGATGAAAATGGAAAACTTTTGAATCATACAAACACACGGAAAGCATGGAAACAACAAGTTTTTTCTTTCCAAGACAATTCGATCACACATTCATGGCAAGAAATCAAGGAATCACAATCTTCAATAGCCACAATTTCCTTTCCAAAACAAGAGTCAACATCAAAATCTTGGACATTCAACTCAAAATCAGTAGATTAATTTCACATGAGCCTATAGATTGAACTTCTCTCATTCACAAACAACAGACACGAAAGAACAGAAAAAAGGCTACAATCACTGCATAAAAATTCATCATGCACGACAACAATTTACAACAGAACACGAATTGAAAAGAATAATGTAGAGCATCAAGAAGATAACAACAGCAACAACATACACACAAAAAAGGGTGCGAAATTAAGATAACAACATTAACACGCAAAGACGGACACAAAAGAAAGAGAGTTCATAACGGATTGAATTACAACTTGCAGCAGTAAACACACATAAATTAAAGGCGAGATACTCAAACTCACACCTGATTGATCCTTATCGCTGCAGGTAATCCCCTTTTAATTTCGAAATTTTTGTTGCTTTGTCGTCATTCGCAGTTGTTCATTTGAGAGTGTGTGAGGCGAGAAATCTTTACACCGCCCGTGTTATTTCTATCTAAGACACTCCAAGATATGAGACCCCTTTCACTCCCCATCAATCATACAACAGTGATAAAAACTTATAACAATGAACAATAGAAGACACACTTTCAATGATACATAATCCACTCTTACTTAAAAGCTCATGAGTGATTCACAGATACAACTCAATAAACTCAGTCCACTTCAAGCATCTAAGTGATGCATGAATGGCTCACAAATAACAATTCAAAACAGAGTCCAACTCTAATATGCAAGTGATATAAGTAGTTGTTATTTGCTGAAGTGTTGAGTTTTTATTTTTGAACTACTTAATAGTATTGTTTTTGCTGAAAGAAAGAATTGAATTCCCTATTCCGTCTCAACCTGCAACTTCCTTTCGTATACTTGTATGTTTTCATCTTTCAGTCATGAAACCAACAGAAACTTATAAATCATAATTTCTCTAAATAAATTACAGTTTTTTCATTTTTAGTTCGGGAGTTAAGTCCTTATTTTAGCATAAAACAGAAATAAACAACTGAATAGGTCTCTAAAAAGTATCACTGTATTATTCTTATACATTTACACATATATAATTTCCATGTACAAGTGTATCTATATCACTACAAAATTTTGATCCTTGTATACATTCAACTAATTGTTGAGGGTATTAAGAAGTGAGACTCTGATTTTAATAAGACGCATAAACAGAAACTCAAGACCTTGTTCAAGGTCTTGAATGCATGACTCGGTTTTCTCCAAGTGGTTTTGCAGATCAATGATGCCTTCAACTTTTCTAGCCTTGGTATTTAGGAAAGACTCTAAAGCTGCATCCACTTTAGCAAATTCACTATCATCCGTCAATTGTGAACAAGCAACTCTTTTGGCCTGAATTAGCTTCGAAATGGAACCCCAGCTGTTTGACTTTGATTGTGTAGTCCCTGACATATATTGCAACATTGTTTGAAATGTAGATAGTGTAGCTTCTTCGACATCTTGTAATAACTTAATCAAAGCCACTGTTTGATAGTCTTTGTTTGTAGATAACATGTTGCAATTTTTGGTATTACCCTTCAAATTTGTCAAGGCTTTGGAGATGGCCTTTCTCACTACCTTTCTAGATGTTAAGAATTTCTTAGCCTCTGCAGTGACCTCCGCTCCACCTCCTCTTCTTCTTATGATGGATTGAAGTTCCCTTGTGCATTCTTTTGTATGAATTACTGCATCTTTCGCTGCACTGCACACATCTAAGAGCCTTAAGAATCCATCCAAGAGGTTATTTACCCTATTTTCTTGAAGCTGATCATGGATAAGTGCATCTTGTGTTAGTGGAAGCTGAATCAAATTTTCAACAGACTCGATCAAATCTCGCAAGCCATCAATCTTATGGAATATTAACGATGAGGAGGAGGTTTCATTGGAAGAGCTTAGTAAGGTTTCCAAATGTTGATTGCATTTAAGAATGAGTGGGTGTGGTCTAGATGGCAAGCTGATTGAGCGGCCATGGAAATTGGATTTTGTGTTCAAAGGAGATGAAGCTGCCATTTCCTTTTTCTTAAGGGAGGAGAAAGAGAAGCCTTGATTTGAATGTTGAATTGAGTCTGTTATTTTCCATTGGCATGTTCTCAATATATATTAAAGGTGTTAGGCGACATAACTAATCGAGATTTGAATTGAGACATAATTACATAAATGTTAGAGATGTGTCTCCTCCAAGGTATCTCTCCAACTCATACTCTTTCTCATTTCCATGATTATAACATTTTAAATGCAAACACTTTACCTAAAGTGTGTTTTAATAAACAAAAAACATAACCATTTGCATGTGTGAAGTACTACTTTGATGCTAAAGCAACAACTGCAGTATTGTTAGGCGTGTCTCTGTTGGAGGAACATGAATCGCACCACCCATTTACTAGATCAAAAAAAGATCTTAACAGGTTATTTATAAATAGAAGTGCTTCTCGTCCTACAGACACATGATCCATTTTCCATGTTCATGCACTCCCATCACATGCATGATCCTTGGAGTTCAAAATTTGTTTTTTATTATATCTTAGGAGCACAACTTGTATTTTCATCTTCTATAGCTATCTTTATTTTATGACAAGAAATAATTGCAGCTGTGGTAGAACAAAACCCCTAAAGCTCTCTGCATAGCCGCAGAAACAGCTCCTTTGTCATCATCTTCGATAACTTGTAGGGTTGCAAGAGAGCAATGATAAGCTTCTCCAAATGACAATCACTCAACAAGCATTCCCAGAACAAACAGGTTGATCATGAAGTATGGTGCAATCAAAGGATATCATGTATGAAGTTCTATCATTAAACACATTGTGATTCTCTACAGTTTAAAGTTTTGCTTCTCAACATTTTAAACTACTTGTCGAACCTATAACCAAGAGGAATGTGTCAATGTATATTGTTTCATAAAGATTCTCATGAAATGTTACATTCTTAACATCAAACATGTGAATTAATAAATGGTTGATGGAACAAATGCACAAGAACACGTGAACGTACAAGCCTGCCTAGCTTCAACCTAAACAGGATGTTGACAAGCTTTAATGTAAATACATAGTTTTGGTGGGAAGGATGAGAGATTGGAAAGACTAACATATATATATATATATATATATATATATATATATATATATATATATATATATATAATATATATATATATATATATATATATATATATATATATATATATATATATATATATATATATATATATATATATTAACATCAACAACTCAGTACAAGCGCAGCTACTCTTTCTTTTCACTCGATTCTGTTGCTATATTGATTGTGATTGTGGTGTTTTTGTTTTCATATTTTGGGTCTCATTTGTGTATTTCATTACTGGCTGTGCTGTTTATTTATGTTGTAAAGTTTGTTGTAATAATAATAAATATATGTGTGTGGTTGTTGCTACTGTTTCTACTTTATTTCGTTGTGTTGCGTAAATCGGATATTAATCAACGAATTCGACATTGTTTATATGTTGCTATGCTGCTAATTTTTTCATTCGATATATTGATGTAACATGACGACGCATATGCGATTTGTTTTTGGTTGCGCTCTGCATTATGTTCCGCACGTTTAGTTGTATTACGTTACAATTCGCGTTTTATGTACTTTTCGATTCGATTGCGATGAGCGTTAGCAATTTTCTGGATTTTTTTTGGTTTACGTGTGAAATTTTCAACTTGGTTGTCATTGCGTTTGATTTAATTTCTTATGCGCTTTCGATGGTTTAGCATAGT